TTCTCATATATATAAACCATTTCGTTTTTATTTTTACAATCACCTTCGTCAACCGTTCTTTACTGTTTAAAATCTCAACCTCTCCGTACCACTTCCAGCTTCTAATTCGTTATTATCAGAAACTTCGCCTCCAATGCAATATCTAACACAGCTATTCTCAAACTATGTGTCACATTCAACCTTCTGTTTGTCTGCCTGCTTTCGACATAGAACTTTGCACATATGTGCGCCAGTTCAAGTCGCCACACTCCCTGCTTGTGGCAGACAGAGCAAGAGAAGAAATGCATAATAGAGACAGTAAACAGAGGTGTGAGACAAAGGTATAGTAATAACGAAGAACAATATAGTTTAATTGGAAATCACAAGTCACAAGGAGTGGATGCATCTGCGCCATTGAGAACGATTTTGAGCCATGTCACCAATTGTTTCCAATCATTGGTTTTTACTGTCCCGAGGACCCCAATCAGGAAGTCTACACCTCTCTACTTGGCTTAGACTAACTGTCGTAGATTTCATTGACTGGTGCCATGTTTTGGTTTGACCGCCGCTAACTCTTTTCCAGCCTGACCCTATATCAACTAACAATGCCCTTTGTTGAGGAAGGCGATGACTAGGCATACGTAACACATGTCCTAACCATCTCAGTCGATGTAATTTCACAGTCTCGTCGAATGATTTCCCCTCCTTACCTAGCACTCGACTATAGCATAACATCAGTATTGCTCAACTTATTATACCACTTCACGCGGGAGATAGAACGCAGACACCTATGATCGAACACAGCTAATCTTTTCATGTCTTCTGCTCTCAATGGCCAGGTCTCACAGCCATAAAGGAGAACGGAGAGAACTGCTGAGCAATACACACGCCCTTTGGTCGATAGTCGAATATCATGTGTACGCCAGAGACTGCGTAAACTGGCATATGCGAAACTAGCCCTCTGTATTCGTGCTGAGATTTCATCAGAGATCAAGCCGTTGGGGCTGATAGTACTTCCCAAGTAAGTGAAGCGGTCAACGTGCTCTACCACGTCACATTCAACCTTACCATCTGCAATGTTTCTACACTGATGCAAATAGGACAACAGATATATTTGATGATGATCTTGGGAAGTCTTTCTGTTGCATTTCAAAGACTTACATACAAGATCCTAGTGAAGTGCTTCAAGAATATCTTCTCCATCTACAAGGCTGGGTAGTAAGTTTTATGTACACTTATCTGGGAACACTGATATTTGGTCTAGCCGGGTGGATGGGGTCATATTACTCGACTGAATTCCTATTAACAGTCACTTATGTACCCTGAGGCTAGAAGTTTACACTAGAAAAAGAAGTAACCGGCCAAAGAAAAGTTATCGCTAAATATGCAACAACAGATGGTAACCCAGACGAGTTCTATTATTAAAGAACTGAACTTCTGAAGCATACGTGAACAACAGATATCGTAGAGGTAGCTGGAGACGTCAGTGTATGCGTCGAATTTCTAGGCCCGGAATAAACTCGATTAGGTGGAGAACAACACGGACCGTCTTTCACACGTCAAAGAGAAATCACAACCTATTTCTAGCCAGTAACAGCTTTCGGCACAACCATCGCCGTAGACCTATTCGGCATATTTTTCTTCACCCAATCAAGCTTAAACTCAAATATATTATATTGCCATCATCGGCTAATTTGACTGAACTTGTGGGGATTTCAATCATACTTAAGAGTGCGCCAAGTTTATCTTACGATACAGTGGTTTTCTAAAATGTCATTCAAAACATTCTAAATTAAATGACTGACAACTACACAAAGACCGAACGCTGCTGTGTTTAAAGAGACTTTTTATACAGCTAATATCATAATAATTGAGAATGTGAAGCCGATATATCCATCCATCTAAGCCCTTTGAACATGCGAAAAATGATGTCACCTCCCAATTCGAATGTACGTGTGGCCACACATATATAGAGAGGACTCATCGATCTCTGAAAGTAAGGACTGGCTTCAGAGCATATTCCTAAGTGGCTTCAGAAGCAAACTGAATCCCAAAACCCATTAATACGCGACAACAGGATACCTGGCTCTTCTGTGTGGAAATATATTATAGAGACAGGACATAAAATTGATGTTTCCACACGTCTTTTAAACCTATCTACAAAACGTGTTTGAGGAAGGGCGTATTCCAAAGTTTGTGGGAGCCTTAGTCAAACCTTTATGCGTTCGAAAACAATAGGATTCAACGTTCCAAAACAAAATTGATTTAGAATGACAAGTGGGATAATACCGCGAACAATTCAAAGTGAGAACAATAATAGTAACACAATTGACGTAATAAAGGAAGAGTATACCAAATTGAATAAAGAAAACGGAAAAATAAGTAGAGCCAAAATATGATTGGGGATTATCATACTTTAGCATAGAGGGATTAAGACCATGAAAGTTGGAGGAGTTGAACAAACTTTCTGTATACAGAGAGATATGGCTTTTCTGTTTCGATAGCCAAGGCTTCAGCAATACAGATGAGTCGGATACCTAGTGATTTGGGCAAATTGTTTCTCACCTTGAGGATAACTTTAAAGACGGAGGCTGTAAAGATAGGGTAACCAGTGTCGACCAGATATTCAATGATCGTGGTTCTTATAGCTCCACTTCCACCTCTTCGTAACCATGCAAGGTAGTGTTCTTGCACCCTCTTGGACAAAGCTCGAGTCGAACGACCAATATGCCTAGCTCTAGACATCCTATGAATTGTTCTATATACATATGACATTAAATGTTTTATCATTTCACAATAAACCATGATTATAATCACAAACACTCAAAGTTGAATTGCACTTCATACTACTACTACTACTGTGGTGAGAGCTGTCTGCAAGCCAAAATTGTAAACAACAATTGACATCAATGTAACGTCCTGAACCGGAGTCATGAGAAAAAACAATAAAAAAGCTTAACCTTCAGGAACTCAACAACCAATCACAACAGACCTAACGTGTGCAAGTACGATTCGCAGATACATATGTATAGCCTGACTTTCTAAGAAATGGGGTCACAAAGAGATGACAGAATAAACTTCAGCAAGAAGAGAACCAGTCAGAAGACGAATAATAATGTACATAAAAAATATCTGTTGATTTTCTCAATAAACGATCTGTTGCCTGACCCTTGTCTTCTATCGCTACACTGCTATTGTGGTGAGAGCTGACTGCTAGCCAAAGTTGGTAGACAGTGTAATTGACGTCAATGTTTATGTCCCCAATATTGGTGGTGAGAAAATGAGGGAGAACAAAGGCTTTGCGTAGGCGGATACAGTTAGCATATGGATGATCTGACACAGCCACAAAGAGATGCAAGGTTAACTTTCTGTGAGAAGCAACCAATCGAAAGATTGCATTTTATACTAACAATAATCTACATTAAAATCTATAAACATGTGTTGATTTTCCTTAATAAACGATCTGTTGCCTGGCCCTTGTCTTCTGTCGCTATGCTACTATTATTATTATTATAATTTTTAATGTATTCACACCTATGATTCGATTCCCTCACTGCATATAATTTCTTAAGGAAAACCATATATATACACACGATTGTACTGCTTAATAATAAATTCTCTTGTTGGAAAGAGTCTCTTCAGTGAATCACTTGTTTTGATTTTCCAAATATCCCAGTGAGAATTTTCCATGACATATACACCAAACGTTTTTGCAAAAATCAGATGACCAGAAAAGAACGAATCAGGCCATAGCTCGAGTGGAAAATGGAATGGTAAGTGGTGAGCTAGTTGGTGGTCAGTGCGAGAGTGACATGGAGGAAGAGGTGGAGGAGGTTGATGTAAACCGAAGAAGAAAGCATGTGGACAGACGTGAAGCTGGATGAAAATGTTGTCGGAGAACAGCGAACGGAATCCTTCGAAATGAGGACAGGAGTTAGACAAGGCTGCCTACTATCGCCAATGATTTTCCTGATTCCAGTAGACTGGATAATGCGACAAACAGCGGGCCGGGAAACGAGGAAACAGGCATAAAATGGACTCACACAAAAAAACTTGGAGGATCTAGACTTTGCTGATGATATATGTCTGATTTCCCACAAACTGGAAGATATGTAAGCGAAAAGCAACAAGTTGGCGATAGAAGAAGAAGCATCCAGAGAAGATAGGACCTCAGGTGAACATAGAGAAAACAGAGGTGATGAAGATTCCTGGGCAACACAACCAACAGCAACAACAGACAACAATCAGCATAAATGGAAGGAACCTGAAAGAAGCAACCACCTTTACCTACCAACCTACCTGGGAAGCATCATTTCAACTACAGGCGGAACTGACGAGGATATCAAAACAGTGAGGATCGGGAAAGCAAGACTAGCTTTCACTACTGTCAAGTCTGTGTGTGGGTCAACAGCACTCAGCATGACAAATAAGATTCGGATTTTCAACTCCAATGTGAAATCAGTTAGTGCTACTATACGGATCAGAGACTTGCACTGCGCGTCATAAAGAGCATCTCAAACAAACTACAGACCTTCATTAACAGTTGTCTTCGCTCAATACTCGAAATCAGATGGCCAGCCAGAAAAGATCAGCAACAGAGATCTCTGGCAATGAGCGAACCAACACAGCAGGAATCGATTGTGCAACAAATCTGCAGGAAGAAATGGAGATGGATTGGCCATACTCTCAGAAAACAATGCATCAAGTGACATCACTAGACAAGCCATTGCTCGAGTGGAACGCGAAAGGGAAACGGCGAGTTGGTCGTCAGTGCGAGGGTGGGTGACTTGGATGAGGTCATGTGAAGAGGAGATGAAAAAGTGTAGGCAGACTTGGAGCCAGGTGAAGACTCTAGCAGAGAACCGAACGCAATGGAGACGTGCACGGCTGAAGCCCTATGTTCCTCTAAGAGTTAAAGGAAACAATAATAATAATAATAATGGAGATGTGCGTCCAGCTGAAGCTCTATGTTCCTCTTCTGGGGACTAAATGAGTCAATAACATACATATTTATATACAATTCATGTATTTTCAATCTCTTTTTTAGCACATTGTGTACAAGTATAAATAACCGTTTGTCCTTCATCTGCTGAACGAGTTTGTAATGTTACATAAGTCATCCTGTCATTACCACAATAAGCGCATTCTTTACGTATACTTGGCCCATCAAATGTGGTTGTCGCCGCCTGAGGTGTGTCATTTTCAAATTGTTGTGCTTCTAAAGCTTGTTTTAAGGCAATTTCAGATTTGAGAATTTTTTTAGCCCCTTTTATCATTGATGGAAAAAATAAACACGTTGATTCCTCGGCATCGCCATCATTACGGACATCGATCCCGTTAACTGTGTTATTTTTTGATTTACTCTCTGTATTAAAACTTGCCTCTATATTGTTAAACCAACGCATAAATGTCGATGTTTTACATTTTCGACAAATTAAAGAATCATTCGCTTCTAGTTTATGCGGTAATAGAGTACCACAAACATAACAAAAATATCGATGAACACGTTCCAGGCCAACTGGTGGATTTGAATGTCTTTCAAGCATAATTACTTGGCAACTTTCTTGTTTTTGTTCTTCTTCTTTTTCTTCTTCTAAAAATATTAGAATATAACAAAAATTTGATAAGAAAATGAAAAGCAATGAAAACAAACAATAGGAGGCAGGAGGTAACTCATCGGAGAAGAAGACATTGCGCGAAATGGTTGCGCTATGTCATGAATTGCCAGAAGTTAGAATTCATGGACTGGCCATTGGATCAGGCTCCAGTGAGTGGCTTGTAACCAGAAGGTCCTAGGTTCGCCTCCCCCGGTGGGTACGTACTGATGAGAAGTCCCAAACTAGGATGAAACAGCTGTCCAGTACTCCGGGGCTGGTTTTCCAATGGTTCTCTAACTGATTTCAGCTCATCTAGATGAAATTCTCCATCCAATCAAACAAAATCCCTATAAAACCAATACTTGAAAATTAATGGACAGTTGTTTCACCCACAATATTGAACTCTTCAGCAGTATGTGCATTCATGACCCTATCAGTTACTGCTCGTCAACGACATGGCGTAAGCACCTATGTACCGTGAAGTTTGAAAAATTTATAACCTATTAGTTTCTGTCCGACTAGCTGAAAGATCAGTAGACCGGCATCTTGATTTGAAGATAAAGGATTCGATCCCTGATGGACCGTAGATGAGTACTGCTGAAGATTCCAACAATAATAAAGAATAGGTACCACAGCCAAATGACCTTGAACTAACCAATTATATTCTTTAGGGTGAAAAACATACTAGTTCGCTAGTTTTCTAGCGGGTCTCAAGTCCGAGTAAAGAGGGAGGGTTGGGTATGGGGCTAGCGACTCTACCCCCCCCCCAAAAAAATTATCAAACTGCTACAGAAACTTCAACGGACAAGAAAGGTATTTTAAAAAATACAAAAACTGTAAAAAAAACCACTTATTTTTCGCTCGAATCGGAGAGGTGAAATGACAAAGCGAGCTGGTGAAAGCCAGTCAGTCAGCCAGCCGATGTGTCTTCTCTCCATAAAAGCAAGAATAAGAATGGGGGCGTGGAATATACGTCAGATGTACGAGGATAATTGGGAAGGCTGCCTAGGTAACCAAAGAAATGAGAAGATAGGGAATAGAAGTTCTGGGAATCTATGAGAGCAGATGGAATAGATATGACCAGGAAGAATTAGCAACAAGAAACTCTGGCTGGCTAGGAAACAAACCAACCAACCGAGAGCCGATCGCTCAACAAATACCTAAGAGGAAATGGACCAGGCATACGTTGAGGAGGCCATCGAGTGACATCGCGAGCAACGCAGGTCATCGCTTGAGTGGAATCCCCGTGGGAAGCAACGAGTGGGTTGTCGGTGCGAGGATGACATGGAGGAGATCGTGTGTTGGAAGGAGGAGATAACAGATTACGGCCAGTCGTGTGACTAGCCAGCAGAAGAGGACGGTAGAAAATAGAAGAAAGTGGAGATGTGTTGTTGAAGCCCTATGTTCCACTCGGAAACCAAGGAAATAATAATAACAACACATATACATAATAAAAATGGTCTATACAGTGTATATGCATCTAATAGGCTGTAATAACAGGTCCCAATTTTTAATAGAAGTGGCTATAGATGTAGATTGTACTAGTAAGTTTTTTCAATAGGCTCGAAATCCTTTGGTTAAAATTTTTATGACTGCCAATTTTAGGACCCTCTGATCCTGATGAATGATTGACTTTATGATGAATATATCCTGATGATGATAACCGCAACATTCAACATTTTAGAACTTTGCACAGATGTGCACCATTTCGAGTGGTCACACTCCCTCCATACAGCACACAAAGCAAGAGAAGAGAGATTCAAAAGAGACAGCGAGATTATAAACAGAGATGTTAGGCGACAAGAGCAGTAATATGGAAGAACAATAGAATTCTACTGGGTATTATAAATCACAAAGAGTGAATGCATCTGAGTCAGCCATATCACCAGTTGTCTCTAGTCTTCATTGGTTTTTACCATCCCAAGGACCCCAACCAAGCATCCAACATACATCTTCCTAAGTGGCTGGCTAGCTTAAACTAACTGTTGTGGATTTCATTGATTGATGAAGCCATTTTTTTAAAATTTGACCACCATTAGCTCTTTACCAACTTGATGGATCCTTTGTCAACAGCTAACATTGCCTGTCGGGGAAGGCAATCCGTACACAGCCGTAACACATATCCTAACCATCCCAATCAGTGTAACTTCATAACGTCATCGAGTGATTTCTCTTCCCTCCTTACCCAACACTTGACATATGCTTAACCTCAGTATTTCTCACCCTATCATACCATCTAACACGGTATGTAGAGAGAACGCAGACACTTATGATCAAAGACAGCTCGCCAGTCTTTTCGTATCTTCCACTTTCAATGGCCATGTCTTGCTCACAGTCACAAAGGAGGACGCAGTGAATTGGTGTTGAGCAGTACACACTTCGTTTGATCTATAGCCAACCAGATATTACGTCTAATAAGCCAGAGATGGAATAAGTTGGCATATGCTAAACAAGCCTTCTGTATCCATGCTGAGAATTCGTCAGCGACAAACCCGTTGAAACTGATGAAATGGATGTTGTCCACAGTTTTTGTTGCAGGCTTCACCCTTACTTACTTTACTTCGGCTGTCTCCTACGGGAGGATGAGCCGGCTTCATGAACATCTCGAATCATCGCTGCCCAGGCGCGGCGATCTGATGCAAGGTTTTGCGACAGGGTTATCCAATTCTTGTTCCACAGAGAGAGTCCGTAGATGGTTTGTAGCCCCAGGTACTCCATATCAGCCTTGACTGTACCAAGCCATGTTTTCAGCTGTCCACCCCTGCGACATCGTTTGTAAGAGAGTTCATGAAGTTTCATGGGAATTTGGTACGAGTGATGTCCCCAGAATCGCCCGGCCTTTTGTTTGAGAGTGCAGCTCTAGCCTTTACACAACCAAGTGTGACCTACAAGGCAGTAGGAGTGGAGTAGGGAGTCCACTATCCATTGGCAGCCGGTGACCGGAGTTCGGTTCATACGCCTTTTTAAATGGGGCCAGACATCCAGGACATCCAACAAGCCCTTTGTCCATATGTTTGCCGGTGAGCTCCAGTGAGCTTCATACGCCAGTCGTTGGAGGTTTGGTCGGTCGGTCGGTTTTCGACATAGAATTTTGCACATATGTGCGGCAGTTCAAGTCGCCACAATCTAAGTAGCACGCAAAGCAAGAGAAGGAAGTAGAAGAAATGCATAATAGAGACAGTAAACAGAGGTGTGAGACAAAGGAATAGTAATAACGAAGAACAAAACAGTTTAAGTGGAAATCATAAGTCACAAGGAGTGGATGCGTCTGCATCGGCCATTGAGAACGATTTTGAGCCATATCACCAATTGTTTCCAATCATTGGTTTTTACCATCCCGAGGGCCCCAACCAGGAAGTCTACATCTTCCTACGTGGCTTAGATTAACTGTTGTGGATTTCATTGATTGGTGCCATGTTTTCGTTTGACCGCCGCTAGCTCTTTTCCAGCCTGGCCCTATATCAGCTAACATTGCCCGTCGAGGAAGGCGATGACTAGGCATACGTAGCACATGTCCTAACCATCTCAGTCGAAGTAATTTCACAGTCTCGTCGAATGATTTCCCCTCCTTACCTAGCACTCAACCGACGCCTAACCTCAATATTGCTCAACTTATTATACCACTTCACGCGGGAAATAGAACGCAGATACCTATGATCAATGACAGCTAATCTTTTCATGTCGTCTGCTCTCAATGGCCAGGTCTCACAGCCATAAAGGAGGACGGAGCAGTACACACGCCCTTTGGTCGATAGTCGGATATCGCGTCTACGCCAGAGACGGCGAAAACTGGCGAATGTGAACCTAGCCCTCTGTATTCGTGCTGAAATTTCGTCGGAGATCAACCCGTTGGGGCTGATGGTACTTCCCAAGTAATTGAAGCGGTCAACGTGTTCTACCACTTCACTTCCTGTTAGAAATAGGAAGTGAAGTGGTAGAGGTTGGAGGTTTGGAATCAGGGTTTAGCCATCTCCTCTAGACTGTCATCCAATGGACAGTCAACCCGGTGAAGAGCGCCGGGCATCCGCTTTCGCCCTCTCACTTTGGTGAAAAACACCTCCGCCACGTGAAGGCGGTGAGTAGGACTCCCTCAGGAGAGGCTATGTAAGACGCCCGGTTATATGGGAGCATTTCGAGGGGTGTGCGGAGGGGTGGCCAACCCTAACCCTAACTCTGGGCTTCACCCTTACCCTAGTCTAAACTTAATCATACCCTAACTATAGCCCTAACCCAAAGTCAGGGTGAAACTTACAACGAAAAGCATCGTTTTGTAATGTTGAGCTATTTGACTAATTGGTTCAGGGTCATTTCGCTGCCAAAATTCCTAAACTAACACGAAGTAGTTGTCCAGTACACCGTGGTTTTCAGTGGTTCTGTAACTGGTGCATCTTCTTGTAATATAACTTGATGATATATGTTATAAATAATAATGAGTCTCTTCAAGAAAGTGCTATGTTGAAAGGCAACTCTACTTATGATGATGATGAAGGTGAAAGATTCGGATTAGTGACCGTCCTTGGGTTTCAAGTGGAATATGGGGGCCTCAGCAGCACATATCCATTTCACCCTGTTAGCTGAAGTATTTTTCAATTGTCTGCATTATCCCTCATAATTTTTATCCCCTCCATGACACCCTCGGATTAACACCCAACTCATCACTTCCCATTTGGGTGCCACTCAAAGACCTGCGCTGTGCGTGATGGCATTCATTGATCTCCTCAGAGTGTGTCCATAAACTAGCCAGGTGGTTGGCACAAAATTTGGCAACTGTCAAACACCTAACTGACAACACGGGACATATAGTAAAAATTATTCAGGCTTTTAAAATAATCAATACTCAAATAAAACGATCGTTACTTCGTTTCACGGAAGATATTGCTGTCAAAACGCTTCGACCCACCTTCTGTCTGTCTGTTTTCGATATAGAACTTTGCACATATGTGCGGCAG